GTTTGACGAAGAGACTTTCTCTATTCAATGTGCACAACAATGATTTTTCCAGCATCATTTTCGTGCTGATGAACCAAATTGAAATATCAATGTGACAAATTTTCATTTTCGCTTATTATCATTTTACTGTTATTCAATTCTTTCTCTCCTGTTCTCGCATGTCAGAGCAAGCGATATTATTCCCATCGGCTGTCTCAACCGCCCAAAATATGCGTGTATAAATTTATGATGATGACAACTGACAATGGTGCTAACGTGTGATGATGAAACGCATCGTTTATTAAAGTCTGTCACACATATAAATACAAAAATGAACAGTTTACGATCATAATCTCAACGCACTTGAACATTCACATCGAAAGCGCCATTTGAACGAAAAGGGGGTTGATGTATTTACGTGTTTAACAACAATCACAATATTATTTTCATTTCATATCAATTTTTTTATTTGAAGCATCCAAATCGAAAGCTTGAACAATTTGGATAAATTGTTTGAAAGCGCAGCGTGACTAATAAAACGATTAACCGATAATTTGATAGAAATCAATACTGGTCGTTTTGTGGAAATAGCTTCATCCAATGGAGAAAATGGTCCAAGATAAACAGACAAAAAAAGACGAATCAATAGAAAAACACAACACGATATTGAGTCGATACGAAGCAAAAAAGAAAAATATTTGAGTTGCATCGCATCCCCCATTAAATAAGAAAATGTTCACACTGTCGTCATACAGACGATGCTTTGCTATTTTAACAAATAAATAAACTTGCAATTTCATTGTGCTCGCTTCGCTCAATGGCAAAAAAGGGAATGTTATTCAAGATTTGCCATGCACATCAAATCAACGTATCATTTGCAAAGTGTACGCATTAAGCGAATGGAAGCACAATTTAGCACAAAACTCTCGTCCAATGTATAATTTTATTTTTGTATTTCATGTTAAATGATAAAAGTGAATGCCATTCAGTTTGTTATTGTACCTATTTTGAATTGTTTACACACAATTCTCCAGGGAATATAAAGATTATCACTTCAAATTTGTCTCAACCGATTGTGTTGTAAAAACAATTTATTGTAGTCCTTTTTTTTCTCTCTCGCTCAATGTATTTAGCTAAAAAAACGAAATCTGTGTTCTTTTTTGTCTCTCTTTTCAGTGCATGTAAGCTAAACGATAAAAATAGGGCCGATCGCCTTGCACAACCTCGAATGTCGCTGCTGGGGAAACCAATAAGTTATAATCGTGGCGCACGTCGTGATGCCCGTTATAGAAGGCTTCAAAGTCGTGTTTACAATTTTTTGGAACGACCAAGGGGCGTACCGGCCATTTTGTATCATGTTCTTGTGTAAGTATTTTATTTCAACAGTTCTTTTTTTCTAACTCTAGGGGGTTCAGACTTTTTGTGAATACGGCTATTTTTCGAATGAGCGAATACTTTTTCATGCATTTAGATTTTAAAAAAATATTCGCGAATACAGAAGAATTTTCAAATAAAAAAAAGTTCAACATGTACCGAAATTGGAGAAGAAAATTTTGATAACAATAGTTAAAATTACCGTTACCGTATTAAATTGTGAAACATCGAAAACATTGAATTATTATTTGTATCTGCTCTAAAGTACGATTATGCACTGCATAGAGACGTATTCGAAGATGGTTGAGATTATTTCAATGTGTTTTGTATGGTAGCTCAGTACGCACGTGATTCGCAAAGACACGCACAGAGACATAGCGTATTTCACGATACCAGAGAGTAATGTAGTACGAATACCAAAAAATTGTATGAATTTGATATTCGCGTTGAGTCCGAAGCCCATGGTCAAAACTTATCTAAACAAATTATTAAAAGCATTTGCACCATGATTTAAAAAAAAAGAAGAGTAATTAACCGACCACTTTGCCGTTGATTTCTTTGAACCGGCTGCGATTCTATGAAGAAAAAAATGAACTCACAGATTTATTTTCGTTTACCGGGCTGTATGCTGTTCAATGAATAAAATATACGATGTCAAAATGTCACTAATGTGTATTTATGGCAGTGAGTCTCGTGGTCGGTGAAAATTTTCCCTTTTTCTTGTGTTCGATATTTTTTTTTTTTTCGCTTATTTTCTTTTCATATACTAACAATTCCATTTAATTTAATAGAACATTTTAGTGAAAGCTAAATCGAACAGTGCGACCAATCAATATATTTTGAGCGTATTATTTAGCAAATGTTTGCCAGTATGTGACTAAACATTGAAAACATTTACACGCACTTCATATACAATATGCTTATCAACATGGATATTCATGTTGAGCTTCCGACAAAATTCATCCATTATTTATTACGAAGCCTCAATCGTTCCCTTTATATTGGACTTTTATTACTGCCATTCGATGTCCAGCTCGATTTGGTTACATTTTCGTTAGTTAGTCCAATTGAATTCATTCAGTCGTACTGTTTGTTTCATTTGTTCAGTGATGCGTTCGTTCATGCCCACAAGTAATTGTAAATGAAGCTTCAACATCTGACCTATTCCAACCGGACACCTTTTTACTGTTATTATTACATTACATAGTAGTCCCTCGGAAATTAGATCCCCCACAAATTAGAATCACCCAAAAATTCGAATCTTCTTTCTCTCGCATCTGCTGAGATTCACTCATTTTTTCATTGAAATTTCTCTTGTACATATTTTTAGCAATATGGAAAAAGTGTTGCAAAATGTTGGTTATTAGTTTATGCATAAAATATGATTTCAATATAAAACTTCGAGAGCACGAATAATTGGTTTTTCGAGGGAATACTGTACTATTATAATAGTTTTGCGAATACGTGTTTTCCAAAGCTCACAACTGAGAGTCCACATCAGAAAAGCCATGTAATTCATTGACACATAATTGATGTAAATCCATTTTGACAGAGAGTACCGTGTGTTAATAATATACGATCATCCAATGTTACATTGCAGGAAGCGTAAAATAAAAATATTAACCAACTTTCCGAGTCGAAATATCAAACAATAGAGAAATGTTTGGCAATTGTTAATGTGGAAATATTTTTCCTGTGACTTTCAATACAAGCGATTTCTCACATACATTTCAATGTATGCGCGACAGTTTCGTGTGCTCGTTAAACTGTACCTACATTAATCTGACCTGAATATATTTTTAATTAGCTGAATTATATCACTCTCGTGTTAGCCTATCCTATTTGTAACGGCATTTTATTTTATATGGACGATGGACGTGTGACAACGTCAGATATATTATAAATAATTATGTTGCTTAAGTTGACATACAGCATAATATATTTTATACAATTTAATGCGAAAATTATTTACGTCTTTTTATTTATTTTCCGTTCACCACCAACGAACGAGTAGAAACGAAAATGGCGGATATTCTCTCCCTAATTCGATTCAATCAAGATATTTTTGCTTTTATAAAATTGAATTGGATATAGATAATAGGTTACTTTTTTTTTTGCACGAATGGAATGTCATGGAAAATTTGATACTTGAACTTATTGATTTATTTGTCGTGCTATTCACCTGCCGATTGAACAACGAGGGGTAATCAATGTTGGATGCTTTATTGTACGGTCATTTCTATCGCTATTCAATCCAATTATGTGACGATCAAACATGCATTATGAAAAATGATGTGCTTAGCTTCGTTCCTCCTTGTTTTTCATTCAAATATCTTGTGTGTGTATTAATTCGTTTCTCTTTAATTGTTGGATCTATGCAGATTTTTAATGGTATTCACATGCTTGGCCTTGAGCGTTTTCTGCACAATAGACGAATACGAAGATCAAGCAATTGATATACTACTCAAAATGGTAAGATTTTTGATTCCTTAAAAATTGTTTCAGTAAACGTGTCCTTTGGTTTTGTTTGGTAGTTTTCACATGATTATATATTAAGAGATAAAAATGGTGGCTTTAATAAAATTGTACAGAGAAAAAGAAAATCTTCAACTCAGTAATAGACATATCTTTCATCAGTTGTGCCAGCGCCATAGTACTACGAACAACAAAAATGGGCACTTTTACTGACATTTTCTCTCACGAGACCTAAGTTTAAAAAAAAATACATCGTATTATTTCTTTCATCATTTCAGGAGATAGTAGTTGTTATCTGGTTTACAATGGAGTTTTCTGGACGGTATGTACATCTGTTCCAATATGACCCTTTATTTATAAGCTCATTTTTCTTTCCAATCATATAAAATGAAATCAAATCAAATAAAGCGAGAAGAAATATTCTTTTGTATTTATCCGAATCGTTGTTTAGTAGCAAACAAATGATACGATATAAAAGAAACGATCTCGTATTCACATTTAATCGTCGCGTTTCTTTATCAGACATCGTCTTTGATAAAGTATTTTTCAAATGTTTCTCTGTTTCATTCTCTTTATTTATTTATTTTTCTGTTTTCATCTTCTGTGAATGTCTTTTCTTTTGTGATTGTGCACACATATGACCTCATGCGGTGTATTGATGCTGTGCACTTTCGATGTTGGTCGTCGTCATCGTCGTCTGCTGATATTCTCTTGCCCTCTAATACAATAAACATCATGCAGACTATGGTCATCAGGCTGTCGCTCCCGCTATCAAGGGCCTATGGGTCGCTTGAAATTTCTCAAACGACCATTTTGTATCATAGGTAAGTGTCTATATTTAGTCAGAGCCAGTCTTTGTAAATCAATTACATCGAATTGCTGCGAATAAATTTGCTTAGATTTTGGAATATTCAAGTGTCAGAAATGTGCATGATCGAATTAAATCATTATTTGATTGACAAATGAACAATATACATTGTATTACATTCATTTTTTAACAAGAATTTCATGATATTCGCTTTCATTTCATTTAAAATTACACAGATGTTGTAACAATCGGTGCATCGATAATCGTAATAGGTATGGGTACATCTGGTCAAGTATTTGCAACTAGTGCACTGCGTGGTCTACGATTTTTTCAAATTCTCCGAATGGTGCGGATGGATAGAAGAGGCGGCACATGGAAATTACTTGGAAGCGTTGTATATGCTCATAGACAAGTAAGATTAACCAGATTCAATTTGATACCATTAGTTAGATATATTGTATTACCCCATGGATCGAGTCACACTGAACATTTTGAGCGTCGAATGTTGAAAATAAAACCCGTCTTAAACATCATTATTATTTTCTAATCACTTGTGGATAAATGTTTATTTTGGAAAATATTCTCATTTGAGCAATCATGTGTGGGTTGGATATGTTGCGAATTTTGTACTGTTCTGAATTTTAAGCGGTGCACATACTGCAATACACAATGAACCTCAACTTACATCCAGTGTAAACAAAAATCCGTGCTGCTGCCACTGTACTGGATATCAATTGAGGTTCAATGTGTGGTACAGAAGGTGCGCCAAGGACAATGGTTGGTTGAAAAAAATATTGCATTGGCAATCAAAATAAATTTAAAGTGAAAAGTGAAAATGATACAAGAAATTCCCCCACAGAATTAGAATTTCTTGAATTTTCAAACACGAATGGTTTCAAATGTATGTAAAATATTATATGCAGCTTTAAAATTAAAAAGCTCGGATTAAAAATGGATTATTCCAGAATTTAAAAGCAATTTTCCGTAGACAAATAAAAAATTTTTTCGTACAAAATCCATTTGAAAATCATGAATCAAAAACAAAATTTTATTGTTGTATCTTCTACTGTAAATCGATTTAACGATTATGAACATAACCGCCGGGTAAAATATGAGATGATGTTACTTGAAACAAGTAGCTATTTCACGATAATGCCAAAAACACCATCGTATTCTAAGAATAATATCATTCTACTCTAAGTCACCAAGGGATACATATCTGAAATGAAATGAACTGATGCCAAATGGGCAGAGTAGGCGTCATGCGGTATTTTATACCATCCAAAAGAAAAAAAAGAAACGGTGTAATAACTGCGCCCGTTTATGCACGCAAAACATCCCAAAAACCAACCTACATATAAACAGTCTATGTATTTCGGATGGATATCCATCCGAGATATTTT